CTGAGTCATGTTTTCAGTGCATTTCATTTTGTTTTGTGTACGTGTCTGTTTATTTGGTTTTGTTTCGCTCAGTATTCCAAATGTTTACATCTGTTTGATGTTAATCATTGAATGCCTTTTTCTCAAAGGCGGTATTACTCCCACAGTGTAGCAGCGAAATGTGAAATCCACCCAAACAACATGCATGACACGCAGGCTAGGGGTGAAGGCCCTGAACATACATAGACACTCTGTATCAGCATACGGGAAAAAACCCTCCTTCAGCCCTCTACCAAAGAATATATTCTCCCCACAGGAACAACTCCCACAAGGTGTGTGAAATCCTCACAAGGGGGAGCCATTGATTCGTAAGACTGCAACAATTTCATACTGTTCCGCTCGCTTTGATACCTGACTAAATGTGACTGAGTGCAACAAGCATTTTAAAAATTTTTAGACAGTGTTTGTTTAGAATTCAGGGATCATGCATTCTTTAATGGTGCTGTTTGTTTTTTATTTCTTCTTTTCTACAAAGGAAAAAAAAAAGTTGCCTACAAAAGTGACTGCTCACAATACCATAAGTTAAATGAAATGAAATGTTTGTCTTGTCATGTTTCTCTGTTTGTTTGTTTTTTCCCCCCGTTCTCAAAGTAACAGTTTGGGTTTCAATATTAAAATATTCTGAAGAAAATAAAGAACTTAAATATGAAATCGTTGTCATTTTTCAGGGCTTTTTCAAAAAAATGAAGTGGTATATGTATATAGCGTTATCATCATTATGTAGATATTTTGCTAGAAAAAAACATTATAATAAATTTACTTTTAATTTCCTTTGGAATAATAGATTACTACAAAAAAAATTTTTAAAAATTAAATAGATTGCCACCATAAAAATTAAAATTGAACCAACTGAAATTAACATCAGTTTTGCTTAGCATTTAAATTGTATTTGAGACTTTGTTTTTATGAGCCCTTGTTAATTCTTTATACCAAAAGTATTCATATCAAGCACATTACTACTACACTGTTTAACTCTCTGAAACTGAATAGTGTAGAAGATGGTGTTTTAAAAGAACTGCTGGGTTGGATCTCGCTCCCACCCTGCGTTAAGTATTATAGCTAGAGTTATTTGAACAAAATTCGGTGAACCATTAGAACACAGTTGTCCCAGTTATTTCAAAAAGGTTAAAAATATGCATCTATCTTTAGTAAGATATGAATTAAATATAAATGACTATTGATCTGAGTTTAACTGTCTGTATGGAAAATGTTTCCATGTGTTCAGCCACCAGATGGCGAAAGAGAATCTTTGAGGGGGCGTGAAGCAGAGCAAACACAAACCATTGGCCTCTTCCAACTCCAAATATGAAATGAAATGGTAATTAAACAAGGAACTTGCTCAACAAAATGGAGGGTAAATATTTCTAAGTTTCATTAAACTTTCTTTCACAACAATGGTAACGTTCCTTTTCCCTGCTAATACTTCCCCCCCTATTCGCATATTTACAGAGTGCTGAATTTTTAGTTGTCCATGTTTTAATAGTTTTCGTTCCATTACTGCACAAGCATTGTTTAGTCCAAAATGCTTTAAATAATAGTGAAAAGTTAAGCAATCTTTGTCACTTACTAGAAATTCAGAATTCTAATTTTACTTTGACAAAATGAGAACACTTATATAATTTGTATCTACATAGCCAACTATTCTTCATACAGAAGTAATGTGAATGCCCATCTTCCTTAGGACCTCAAGTATTTATTTTTTCCCATTGTAGCTTTTACTTTAAGAACAAGCAATTCATCCAGTGATATGTCTGTTTTCAAATAGATAAGAGTAAGTCAAAAATTATTTCTACTAGGGTTCCAATTTATACCAGCAAAAAGTGGTTAGAACATGTCTTTGTGACCAGTGGATGGCTGCAGGCAATCTCAATAATAAAATTGTCTCTTTAGAGTATTTTCTGAAGGTCCCAAACAGTGGCTCCCAGAGGGATCTGCAGGATCAGTTAAATTGAAAGCTGAGGTCAACTGAATAGGATTATGGTGCGTCTTGGGGGCAGGGCGAATCCCACGGGTATCCGATCTGTTCTGCATAGGGTCGCAGTGGGTCAGAACCAACTCAATGGCATCTAACAAGTATGTCCAGACCTGTTCAGATGTGGTATAGTTGGAAAAGCATAGAGTCCTTCTGAGAAGGAAGGGTCAGAGAGATGCAAACACTGCCATCAGAACTGTAGACTGAGTTGGAGGATATATGTCCAATAGCTTCACATGTTGATACTTTGTTTAGTAAAGGTTCCTATGATTGGGCATAAGGAGCCCTGGTGGTGGGGTAGGTTAGGTATTGGGCTGCTAACCTTGAGATCAGCACCAGAAAACCACCAGCAACCAGATCCTCACAAGAAACATGAGGTGCTTTGCTCCCATAATGATTTCCAGCCTTATGAACCAAGGGGGGCGCAATCTACCCTTTCCTGCAGGGCTGGTGGCAGTCGGAGTCAGCTCCACAATAACATTGGCTTGGTTTGAGGCTGGGGTGTAGTTTTGTAGCAATATTTTTGACTTACCCTTGTATTTCCTTTTAATAAAAGATGAGTACATGTATACACGGTGTTCACAAAGCTCATGGAACAATTCCATTGTTCACAAGCATCTTGTGTTCTCCTGGAACCTAGCCAGGAGAGTCGTTGACTTGTGAGTTTTTGCACTTCTTTCTACAGAAAATATTTGACCCGAATGCTGAGAAAACTACTTGTTCTAGAGAATTAGTCTACCCTTTAGGAATGGGTTTCCTCAGCTTAGTGTTTCAGGAGCCCGACAGACAATGATCACAGCGATAGGCATGGATGAAACTTTGGAAGACTTAAGTGCCACAACAAATCTGGAAATCTACTTTCTATAGTAAACTTAGTCCTCTCCCCTAAAGAAATGCATATATAAGTTGCCAAGGCTACTATTCATTACAGTTGACCAAGGCAGACCACCTGATTTATGAAGCAAAGGCCAACCATTTAAAAGCCGTTTTCTTTCATCAGTTTTGTTAGATGTTTTTCAGCTATATGAAACACGTCCCCATTGTGATGCCTCATTATAAATAAAAGCAGGTGTTAAATAGTTTAGCACTGGATAAGGCATTAACCTAACGGGACTCAACAAAAGGGATGTCCGCTGTGATGCCACACTCTGAACTTGCACTTCTGTGAACGAAGGCTTTCCCTGAATTGGCTATTATGAATAAAGTAATTAATACTAGAAACTCACTGTATTTCTGTGAAAGCTTCTGGGATACTTCATGTTAGGCGAATGTTTCCTTGTACAATCTCAAATATTAAGGCAATCTATTAGCTAGTTTGAAGTGGCTTTCACCCAAATTCAATGAAATCTCCAGTTTTTTTCTCCTCATGCCTACCTGACTCCCCAAACTGTTGAGTGGACATTTGTCATAGATAAGAACATGATCACAGAGTGGGAGCAGCCATGGCTAGATGTAAGATTCAAGACCCTCAGGTCACATAATGTCCACCTCATTTTCTCTAGATTCACCACAAGTCATCATAAGGTTGTAAATGGAAAATAGCTTTTGCCTAGATCTAAACATACCTCTAGTTTCAAAGTATGGTTTTCTTTCATGAAAAACACTATTTAGATATCCTTATTCTTTAATAAGGAGTACACAGAGGAATTTCAGGGGAGACAGAGCTCTATTTTTGTCTTCTTTGATTCATTTGACTTCCAGGAACCAATTCTGGGATGCCAAGCTATCTAATAGTTCTGTCTTTGAAAAGTAAGGTTGGACTCAATGTCTGTGGGCACCGTGTGTGTGTCCCACAAGATGATTTCCCAGAGAGAAGCTGCAACATTTATGCATGTCTCTATATGGAAGAAAAGACCCAGCTTACTGCTGTAATATAAACATTATTTGTTAATCAGCTTAGATGCCACGGTTGATGTCTAAGTAACAGCATCTCCATGATGATTCCAGTGGAAACCACCATGATTTTCCACACTCCTTCCTTTCAAATGTGGCTTCAAAGCAACTGCTTAAATACTCTACACTGTTGGTAAAATAGTCTTTTTTTATTGGGGAGTGGGGGTGGAATTCTGTGGTAAACTTACTGTACATACTCGAGTATAAGCCTACCCGAATATCAGCTGAGGCACCTAATTTTACCACAAAACCCACTAGAAATGTGCTGTAAAATTCGGCGTATACACGAGTATATATGGTAGTTGGCATCTTGATATATTCCGCGGTTTTAAAAGAAAAATTGTTATACTGAACTTAAAGTAAAAATCAATAGATAATTTTACCACTAATCTTGAAGCACTTAGTTTTCTCACTATCAGAGAAATAGTTTGGAGCATACTGTATGCTTTATGATTACTTTCAAAATTTTTTTCATTACTGACACGTTACAGGGTGAGATTGGTAGAAGCTCATTTACAGAGTTTTTTTTTTTTTAACTTTGAAATTGGAAACAGAAAATTTTCTGTCCAAAAAGTATATTAAGCTTTGTCCAAAAGTGCAGATAATCAAGGATTCCACTCTGTAGTGCCAGTTTTCTAATATTTTAGATCAGAAATAAATCACTTCCAAATCTAGTCTTTGTGATCTGAATATGGAGGATTCATACATGTCTTCTTCATATAATAGATAAACAGTTAGAAATCTAACTACATCATACCAAATACAACAGCTTCCCAGACTTAGGCTGAAAAGCAGTTTCTGTTTTACTAGAATTAAATCACATCCATGAAAGGATATGCACCCAGCGCTACAAAGCTGCTCACAGAGATTGATCATGTTTATCCTAAGTAAAACCCTAGATGATCGGTAGTATCATTATATCCGTGTGGTCAACAAAGAACCTAAGGTTTAGAGAGTTTAACTTGTTAAAAAGA